CATTTATGGTTTGATTTCTTTGTATTTATGGATCACTTGGGTTGTTACCGACATCTGGTGAAAATTTCATGTCATTAGCACCTCTAGTAATATGTTTACTGAGAAAAATGTTGATGTGTTCAATACTTATTTTACCCGCTGTATATATAAATACACAAACACAACATTACACACACAAACACACACACACATAAGCACACTTGTGCCTTTTTTGGTACCATAACAAATGGCTAGGCCACTGACATGGCTCTCCAGTTATTCCTGGATGTCCAGCTTTTCTTATCATGATTCAACAGAAACCAAACAGAAACACAAACAACAACAAGTGGAAAATCAATATCTAATGTTAATATTGGCCCAGTTATAAGACAGATACTGATATGCGAAAAAATTGACCAACATCAGCCAATATTGATGTTAATTGTGATATACTGTATCATGCATCCTTTACTCCTATTCATTTTGATTTGTTATGTTAAAAAAACCTATCTAGATAAATTGTGCCTCCTGGATAGAGTAAATTTATTTCTGGTTGGATGAAAACTGTAAATTTATATAATTCTGACATCGTATTAGTTTGTACACAATCCATGCTGCACACTCCAGCAGGAAACTGACATTTGCAGCCTAGTGCAGCTGAAACAGGTAGACTAGTGCATCCTAAAGTTTTTAACATTATAGTCCTTTTGACCTTTAGAAAAATGTTTTTTGGGGAGATCACCTCCCAATAAATATCCTTTTGGAAAATCTAATTGCTTAGTTTTACTTAACAGTTTTTCTTTTACTACTTAATTACATTTTATATCAGAAATTTACTTTTGATACTTAAGTTCAAAATAAAAAAAATTATATTTTACTCAAGTAATATGCTTAGAGGAGACTTTAAATTTTACCAAAGTAATTTTATGGTAAGATACTTGTACTTTTACTCAAGTATCACTTTGAGGTTCTTTATACAACAACGGTTTTGGACAACTTGCACGCAATCCAGAGATTTAGTTAAACCAACATACAAACATTACAGTAATCCAACCCAGATATGATAAGAGCATGAATCCCTTCATCCATATCTCTGGGGCGGCTGTGGCGGAGTGGTTAGGTGAGTCGTCCTGGAACCAGAAGGTTGCTGGTTCGATCCCCCGTCCAGCCGTCTCAGTCGTCGTGTCCTTGGGCAAGACACTTCACCCACCTTGCCTACTGATGGTGGTCAGAGGGTCCGGTGGCGCCGATGCATGGCAGCCCCACCTCTGTCAGTGTGCCCCAGGGCAGCTGTGGCTACAGTGTAGTTTGCCATCATCAGTGTGTGAATGTGAGTGTGAATGGGTGAATGTCTGTTAGTGTAAAGCGCTTTGGGGGTCCGGAGGGACTTGAAAAGCGCTCTATAAGTTCAGTACCATTTACCATTTACCATCTCTAGTCGGGAGATATGATTTTGTCTGTTAGTCGTAATTAGAAAAATTTTGATCTGTTTGTCCAATTTAAAGGCATTATTGAAAATAAAATCCAAACTCCTGACAGCAGAGCAGCTGTATGAAGCCAAAGGACAGAGGTTATCAAAATAAATATATTTACCAAAGCTAATGACTTCAGTCTTACTTTGGTTTAGCTTCAAAAAAATTCAATTTCAATCAGATTTTTACATTGTTCAGACAGCTCAGGAGTGGCTGGAGTGATTTAATGGAGTCTGGCTTAATGGGCAGATAAACCTGAGCATCATCAGCAAAACAGTGGAAAGGAATCTTAGATTTTGTGAAAATGGACCCCAGATGTAAGGATTAAAAAGCAGAGGATCCCGTATAATGTCTATAACTCAGTTCATTTTACAGACATTGAGCTAAAATCGGGAGTGATAAGGGTTATTCCCAACATCTTAACTGAGCACTACAGGTTTTGCCTAATCCCTCATGTAAAACCTTAATGTTTGATCAAAATGGTTGTAACTCCTTGTTTCTCTCCAATGGACACTCCTTCCTTCATCCTTAATATTTGTCTATGATGAGTTTGTGTCCTGTAACATCTGAACTGTCAGCTGCTGCTGTTTCTGTTTGGATGTTTTGTTTGGCAGAGAATAATCTGGCTTCTCATTAAGCAGCCGCAGAACATCAGACAGTTCCACAGCAGCTGTAAGGAGCTGATGTTAAAGTGAGACTTTAGCTGGTGTAATTAAAGCACGACTCGCATTCCTGAGAAGCAGAGTGAAACTGAAATAGTTGCTGAAACGGAGCTGCTTTGTGTCGCTGCGGAGGATTACAGGGGACCAGCTGACTGGACCTTCTAATTTCACATCCTATTTGTGTGGAGGCTGCTGGGTCAGAAACATGGTCCAGATGTGGGCAGCTCTCTCCAGGTCTGCCTCCTCCTCCCAAAGCTCAGCTGCTCTGACAGGGGGAGGAGGAGGGGGAGGAGGAGGAGGAGGAGGTTTTTGGCACAAACATTCAAAAAGGAGCAGCAGTTTGAGAGAAGCAGCTGAAGCTGAGAAGTCAACAGGCGCCACTTTTTTTAAACCACGACGATGGAGGGTTTAAGTGTCGGAACCTTTGGGCTCCTCATGATGACGATGATGTGTTTTCATCAGTTTGTCAGGTCATCTGCTCAGGTGAGATGGCTTCAAACCTCAGGACTTTCAGTTTTAGTTTTAATTTAATTTGAATTTATTTATTTATTTGGTTGTTTTTTTTAAGAAAAAAGTGGCGGGGCAGGTGGATCATTAGACAGGAATCCATTCTTCACAGAAACTTTTAATCACTTTTTACAGCCCTGTTCATGTTAGCACAGCTGAAAACGGTTGTACTGGTTACAGAAGCAAAAGAACTGGTCTGCCTTTAGGTAGCTGAGTGTATGAATCATCATAATCAGTTAGATTATAGTCTCAAAATAAACAAAAGAAATTCAATTTCTATGGAAACTCATCAGTCTTATTCTTGTTCTGAGAAGTGAAGGATATTCCAATCAAGACAGAATTATTTCTTTTTAACTGAAAAAAATCAGGAAAACAGATGGAAACAATTACTGAACAGCAAATTGCATAAATAATTTCTTATAAAAAACTGATTAAAAATATATAAATATACTCATTAAAATGGGGGAACTGCACATCTAACATATACATTTACACACAGATTAGAAAATAAGACTGCATAAAAGTTTATTCCAGGTGTGCCAACAACCTGTTCTTAACCATTTTATTCTGATTTAATTTTACCGATCCAAATCTGAGGAGCTCTGATGATTGGATGATTAATTTTTGCAAATTTAATTGAAAATTTTCTCATGATTCAGGATCAGTTTTGCAACAGAGAGGCACACAAACAGCAAAAACATGAAAAATATCAGACAGTCCATAGTTTGAAAGGATAAATTTTACATGGGGAATACAAAAACTAAGAGTTCAGTAGAAAACTACAGCAAATCTTTTGAAGCTGAAAAATCAGCAGCTTCACCTTTTTGGAACAACAGAGCCTCTGCTGGACGAGGTCTGTAGCAGGACCTGGGTCAGTTTTCACCCTGGTGTTTCTCAGCTTTCAGCAAGGCAGGTCAAAAAGCTCCTTCCTTCCTTCCTTCCTTCCTTCCTTCCTTCCTTCCTTCCTTCCTTCCTTCCTTTCATTAACAGGGTCAATTTGGGCTAAATTTCAAGAAGAGAAGGTACAAAAAGTCTTAGTTCCATTTTATTTTAAACTGCATTTTTCTGTCGACAACAATCTTATTTTCAAATCTAAAGCTAACAGTTAAAGAATAAATGCTAAACCAATAAAACAGAGGCTCTCTAAAGGACAGGAAACACTAAAAAAAGAAAAGAAAAAGAGCACTTGTTTCTTAAAAGTCAGTCAAATTTCTGATAAATATCTTCGTCACCTCTCCAACTCTCTCCAACATTTGTTGGCCAAAAATAAATAAATTAATTAATTAAT